AAGTCTAGATACGATTACAAACAGAATATCAAATTACCTTCGGAGTGCTTAACAAGGATGGAACACAGAACGGTTCGCTCTATTCAATACCGACTAGGCAGTTAAGACCTGTAAATTTTAGTCTCGACAGCCAGGTGTTCCAACTCTGCTGCTGTCAACTTAATTTCGATTTTGTCATCTTATCGCACAACAACATTTTGATNCTTTTACCTAAAAACTGTTCTGTAAAATAGTCGTTCTAATAAAAAGAAAAAACTCATCCGGTACTTCCTCTGATAGATGATTACAGGACAGCGAAGATTTTACGGGAGCAGGTTGTAATGTTCTGGTCCTTGCAACCATCCCTTTTACATTTTTTTGTTCCCAAAACTTCCCAAGTTGATGGACTGTCGTGTAAATTTTAATCCATCCGATTATTTAATGATTGTTCATGGTTTATCACACCGCATTCTTCTCTGTTTCATTTTGCCCTCCTTTTCTGTATGTCTTGCCTTAACTGGTAGTAATCCATGTTTGATGTTCTCCTCGTCCAGTAAACCAGAATGGATATACAGAAATTGGAATGAAACAAACCGTGGTTCTTTTTATATTTCGGGTCTCACATAAATGCACAACCAAAGCTATCAATGAACAAAAGATGGCATGGTCTTTTAGGTTTAACGTTCGGAACGAACAACTGAATAAGCAGAGTGCTTGGACAGAGTAGAGTAGGCGTTGCTTGGGGCAAACTGGAAGAACCAAGTAGCACATCAATATACGCGTGAAACCTGATAAATTTCAGTTGCTTGTCATGTTGACTATAAAAGAAGGGACAGCAACTAATTGCAGTCATTTGTAAGATATTCCCCTAGGAATCATTTTCAAAGCAGCTGTTCTTTACAGGCGGTCTTTCATTCGGCGCGATGTCATAATTATTCCTGTTGAAAGCAAGAGAAGGGAAAAAGGGAATGGTGAATTTTATCGTGATTTAAGGTTCCAATTCACATTCATTTTTCAGTTCAATATAAGATGGATGACATTCATATTACTGGGCCACAGCCTAAGTACTGGGGGTGTTTGACCCCAAAGGTAGAAAGATGAAATGCGAATGCCGTCCAACCGTGTAAAGTATACAATTAGCGATCTGTTCCCTGTGCCCACACCAGAGCGCACACCGATTCCTAATCGTTCCATTATGCATCTATGCCATCAAAACAATATACTCCATGTCTAACAGTATGACCAGTAGATGCACGATTGCAGGTTGCTCTGACAGGAACAATAATGGTGTCCCAACGATTGATGTTATTTTCTTAAAAGCATGCTGAAAACAACTGCCACCATGACGTTAAAAGCCATTTAATGAAGCTGTCATACATGGTTGAAGAATATATCTTAACAGGTTGCAAAGAAGAGTTTGTGTGCATCAATTTTACTTTACAGTCTGCAAAATCATATGATTTGCCCTATATATATATATATATATGTTGGCTGAACAGTCTAATGTAACACAGAGAAGGATATAAAAAAGAAATATTACTATCCATAAAAAAGAAAGAAAATCTATTCAACCTTTTCATTTAAATCAAAACAAAAAGAAAAAGCTGAATTGATTCAAATCTTCAGTTCTGACTGAAAGTGTAGTGAGAAATTTGCATTCATGAGCAAACAATATAACGGTATTAACACAGTTCCATTAAGCTGACTCGACGAAGTTCAATCGTGAAAGAAGCAATAGATGTCATCTTTTGGAAACGGATCAAGATGCATCTAGATTTTAAGACCCAGGCAGTATTAGATTCCCACTCAACAGATTAACTTATGCTCCCCAACTTCTGAACTGTTCTTGACCGTAAGAGAAAATCCAGTCTCTTAGTACTCGCTTTTGATTGAAAGCTATACCGAGTTTGTATCAGATTTTCTGATCGGTTTACTTTATATACTTAGTAGGTGACTGTTCATTTTGGTTATGATCCTTACGGATCACATCAATTGATTCATTTTCAGATATCCTTAGACGTTTTTTTTCTGTTTTGAAAGCGCATTCAACGACCAGCTTACGATGAACAGCTGTTTGGCTAACTTTTTCATAATAACAAGATTTCCGAATCCGGACTTCAGTTAGAAATGGAACGTGCAACTGAGCGACGGTATCGGCCAGTTAACTGTTCAATTCTATCTTCGTCTTTCAGCTTCTTTTTCTTTATCCTACATTCGTCCAGTTACCAGTGAACAAAACACCCACCACAGAGAGGATTAAACCTGTTGACCAAACTTAGTGACAAGAAATGGCATGAAATTTCGCCCCTGTCGATTGGCTGATAAGCAGCAGCTGACTTACCGGTACAGAAGTTTGTGGGGCTCAGCGGAGACGATTATCGGTCCCGAGAGAAACCGATGGATGAGTCACATCACAGAATCTCAAAGGTAGCATGGATGTCAGACATTCACTTAGGCCATAGTTTGAAGGTTCACCTTGCCAAAAGAAGCACCCTATGGCACACAGACATTAACTAAAATGTACATGGGGAATGATTTCAGTATTAACATTTATTTTCGGACAGAAGTATCCGAAATTCGCTTTGTTCCTCCGGATAGATCGTAGCGATTCATAAATCGTCTGTTCTGCTATACATGTGCATATGTCCATGGTGTGTGTAACGAATCTCATTTGTTAAAAAAGAGTGATTTATCGCAGTTAAATACTGTACCTGACAAAAGTGGAACTGAGCTGTGAAGAGAATTCTCAAGCATATTTGTGAACACGAGCATTTTGCATGCATTATATAGTTATCTTTAACTGTTCAGTGAAACAGAAGAGCTGCATATGCTCAAGTCTACGTGTATGGCTGAGAATTTTGGGTCGGGTGGCAGAGTGGTCACTAACTTACCACCCTGAAATCACGTGTTCAAACCTCAACAACATTAAATTTCCCACTCCCTTGCACAAAATAACCATTCGATTGGCTGCTTTCTGCTCCAGGAAACTGTTTATACAACGATTTATTCAATAATAGGAAGTCGTATTATTAAATCTTTATCAAAGCTCTCTCACTAACCGGTGATATATTCAATTTTAGCTTTCATTCTAGTTATTCATCTTTTTTGTAACCTTTTATTTAGTGATGAGTAAACTCCCATTATTTAGTTCTCAACATATTTCCTCAATGAGACGAAAAATAACTGATTGGTGCCCTCATCCTCGACAACATTTTATTTGAGCCTAGTGATGCTGTATAACATTCCGGGTGATAATAACTACTATATTATACTGAACGAAGATACGAATCCTTTTCGATCGTTCTTCAATCAAACTACATTTTTTCATCATCTCCAATATGCTGCAAACCCATCACTATGAGCGCATTATATATTATTGCTCTTGCTTTGTTCAAAATCCATGACAGATGTTAACTGGGATGTCACGTTCCTCCTGAATCGTCGGTACGACATTGCCCGCGCTGACGAGGACTTCCCGATCTTGATTCAAGCGCCCGCAGATGGAACACTGTACCATGTGCCTGCAATGCGCCTCTTCCCCGATGGTCAACTACCATCAGAAACGTTTTTCATTCACCTGATGTTCAAGCCCCGGAAAGAATCTCTAGATCGCGGAGTCTATTTGATGTCGATTCGTGACCCGGACGGGACACTTCGACTCAGTCTGCGACTGGTTCATGTGAGTTGCAATTCAACAAATTACTGTACCATTCTCACTTACACTAACCAGTCCTCGCAGCAGTATATTTCGATCACATGACTGAGTAGCTATATTTGCATCAATTCCATCATGTATTTGTGTAATTACCAGAGCCTTCAGATGAATCTTTCAACTCATAACCATTGTGGATCGATATCCGAAGGAGTGCCTCATACAGGCATACTAGAACTGACCAAATGGTTCATACACTCACCCCAATGGCTTCAGATATATTCCGAGTCCTGCCTAGTGTAGCGGTTACGATGAAAAATGTAACTGCATTGTTTTTAATATAATCTGCACTTCAATTATATATTACCGTGTGGGAAATAACAGACAAAGCAAAACCAAATGTGATGGTTTCCTTTTCAGTTGCGATAAATGCGGCTCGCTCGATTACGACTCAAATCGACTGAATGAGCCACTCGCTTTAAATAGGTTTGTTGTCAGATAAGGACTAGATACATTTATATTGATGGAATGTGCCAAATTGAAGAAATGAATAAGCCAATCCGGATTATGCGAAGTCAAACGCCCCATGCTTAATGTGTCGATTTTTTTCACTAAGTGAAGTATTTATCCAACTTATAACAATGATCCTGGTTAGAAACACATATCAACTTTGCCTAAACACAGAATGATATTGTACACCTTACAAGTATAAGTAAGCCAGAAGAAATGTATTCTCTTGAATGCTTTCGACCCCACTCACTGAATAGTTGATGAAATCAATGTAAGCACTCGAGAAGGCATCAAGCGATATTGAAGAAAGTCACATTACTCGTATATGTGACACAAGTAACAGAGAGGGGTTCGAAAGATAGAACACGCCGGGCTAATTCCCCATGAATCTGATTACGATATGGTCCACAAATTTGAAAGTAAACTCAGAAACCCAGAACATGTGAGGTTATCCTGAATAATGAAACCAGAAATGTGTAGATTCAGGTCTCTTTTGCACATCACACAGCAAAGAAGGAAAACTCGCGGTGACAAATACGTAATGGGATTTGGTATGGGAAAAACTGAGGCTTTAGTTCGATAGATAATCAGCGCATTAGCCTTTTCAAGTTTTTTTTGAAGTTAAAATTCAGGGTTCTGTAGATCCATTTCATTACTTCTAGTTACTGCTCACCAAACTTAACTTTGTGAGATACCAAATCAAAGTTAGAGGACCGTAAACATAAAAAAGCTGTTGACTTGGTTTGTGGTGAATGTCTTTATGATACCTATGCCGTGCTGGCGCAAAGAATCAAGATGAATAAGCAGGCGAGCGTTCATTCGTGGTTGACCAAGTGTGTGGTACGTTTCATGACCTCGATGGCTTGCGGCTCCGCTAGTCATAGACTTTATTATACTATGATTTCAAGTGTAACAATAAAAATGAGGGAGCAAAAACTTACTAATTTCTTCCGCGTGATCAGACTTTCGGCGTAATATTGAAAGTTATTTCAATCACTCACATATAAAATTTAATACCGGGTTCTCATTGCACTATTAAGCTGGTTACGTATTGAAAATCGCCTCTTGTAGCTTGGGTAGACTGAATTCACTATAATCTGTTCGTCGAGCTTGGTAGTTTGTGCACATTTCATCAACATACAAAAAGACTACTTCAATGTCTATGGAGCAGCGGTACTCTGTTTATGTCCGTTTGCTTAAATTTTCTTCTACAGTCAGAAAGTACGAACCACTTTCATTGATTTATTTTTACGGAGATCAAGAATGACATAAATTTGACTTCGAATCAGCGATAGTTATCGGCAAAGCCCTGTCAAAACACAGGAGAATTTCTTGAGGCTTGGCACTCTTCAATCAACTCAGTAAACAATCACATCGAATTGGATCACGTGTAATGTAATTTAAGTATCACTTGCTGCAAAAACATTTCGAGCAGTAACCCGAGAACGAGCATGAGATCACAATTCAGACAGAGGAACATCCCCTTTCTCTCCCTTTTCACTAGTTCAACGGCGAACCAGGTTGAAAAAAGCGAGAAGAAGGGAAACAAATAGTCGCTGAACAAGAGCGTACATGGGTAAAAGGATATAAAACAAAATCGAGACTGATGCAAGCAATGAAGATCTCACCTCGACTGATGATTAAACGTTTGCAAACAAACTGCCAAGCTCGAGGAACAGGTGAAAATGAAAACAATAAATCATCAAACTCACGTTCAATCGAGTAAAACATGGGCAATAATGTTACTGTATCTCATTAGGGAACATGCATTCCATTATAAAATGCATGCTCAACAAAGTCTACACAATTTTTACACTTCCAGTTATCATTATTGCAATATCTGTAACATCAGAAACTACATCGTTAGTGAGGACAACAAACTTATATGTAGTAAAAAATTTATTTTTGGTCGTTCAGCATGCAGCAGACATTATAGTTTCAGCTTTTACAAGCCTGAATCGGCAGATATTGACTAAAACCAATATATGATTTAAATTATGTAAACCATTTTGCATATCATTAGAAAACTAGCAAATGTGGAACATATGATCATTCAAACTGGTTCAGAATCGTGATCATTGGAAAGCTACGACAACAGTAATCACGATCATCTATTTAATTTTTTTGATAGTAAAGTAAGCGCAACCGATATTCAGAGAAATAGCAGCGGCCAATGAGAAGCCGCCATCGATTAGGCGATAAATCAATGTTTCAAGATAAACTATGAAATAGCGAACATCGCAACCTTGAAATAACATATGATTTGAAACGAGTCCAAAAATCTAATACTATTTTCTCACATTGTGTCTTTGATAAAAGACATTTGCAACGCAGCCACATCGACTGCATATAGAATTCTGTCCATAATCCGTATAAAAGAGTGTGCGAAATGACCAGGTTGACTGATGAAATATTCTCGACTAGTTAAGTTCATTGGAAATTACCATTCCCGTACAAAAGGATCGATGGAATTCCTTTATCCCGAGGGTTTTAATATTCATCAAACGAGATATCTGTGCACATTCGGTTGAACGATTAATTCAGTGTTTTCCTCATCTCGTCCAGGAAGATTAACAATTGACTAGCTAGTAATTTTATAGCGACACTGAAGATGTTGGTCCTCTTTATTCACCCAAGGTTTGATCGGACGAGCCCCCAAAACTCAATGTAGGACAATTGTCTTAATTAACCACTTGTGTTGCAATTTTCACTTAACCGTTTAAAACCATACACAATGTCATAATCACCAAACGGATGACCGGGAGTAATGTCAACAACCAAGTTGTTTATTTGTCCGAAAGCCTCAGTTGTTTTGTACTATGGACGAAAAAAACACGAATACGAAAACCATTAGACTGTGAACTAAACATCGGTCAGATGTGAGAAATTCGATCACTGTACTCCGCACGCGTCCAATCCATCATCGCTTGTGCACACATCCTACAGAATTTATGTGAGTGGGACAAAGCGTACCCGACCGGGAATGGGTGTGTCTGAATGAATTCTATACCTCTCGGTTTTTCAGTACACACAAGCACACAAACATGCCATATTGGTGCACTCAATGGACACTTTATACAAACCAGATTCAATCATTGCCGAGAACTACTTAGGTTTGTGCGTGAACCATCTAGATTGGTGTATTTCTCGAATTAGGAAAGCCAACCCTGATGCTGATCAATTGGAGAAACAGCGGTATCACAAAACGGCTTAAAATCAAGTGTTGCACATGTGTCACACATTTCAATAAAAATGCACTTTCTACAATTGTCACTGAATGAATTGATTAAATCACGTGGTAAGATGTGTCAATCAAAACCAATTCTGATAGATCAGAAATTGCTGTTTGTAAAGTCATATAACAAAAGTAACATTGCGTAGTGCACCATTCAAATTGCAAGTTGAAATAATGTTTACCGAAAGTGGCATCACCCATTTCAAGAGGACTAAACCAGTGTTCACTTCGTTACTTGTTGAATTCAAATTTTCTAGTCCCCATCTGAGAGCATATAATAGATATTATTCAACAACCATTAAGTTACTAAAACGTTCAATTTTTGATTCAATTCGAATCCGGAGTGAATCGCCCCCATCAAATGTACCGGTTCATTAAAGTCCATGGATGCACTCCAAAGGTATTACTCAAAAAGGCAAAACTGGCTGCACAGTTTTATCCAGCCTTCGTTCTTGATATTCTCAGTTAGGTATGAAAAACATAACTTGAGTTTATGTTGGTGGCGTCAACATAGTGGAGAAAATTCTTCATTGTTAACTTATGCAAAATTCGATAGTTGATGTCCTCAGAGAGAGCTTTCCATCTTCGCTGAACAAGTATTGCAACCTCAAATCATGGAACCATTCAGTATAGAAGCAGTCGTATTCAGGACACCGCGAATAACACCGAAAATTAATTCATCATATTTCAGCAAGAAACATGCCAGTACGATTTGATGTACAACTCCATTCAGGCCTAAGGACTCTGCAGTACTTGACAAAAGAATCTGAAATGGTTTATACCGGTAGAATTGAGATCCACGCAGAGAACAAAGAGAATTTTTTTAATCGAGTGACTGGTTGATCGGTCGAGTGATTGTCTGCAAAAACGACAGCTGCCAAACACACCAGTTGTGAATCAGTATGACAGTTCTTAGCCTGGGGTCTCATCTCCAGCGTGAGGCCAGCTTACGAAAATATTATAAGCACAGATTATGATTACCACCTCGTAAATATTTAGGTCACTTTTATCAGGATTTAACTTCAAATATGCAAAATATGGCATGGATTTTGCAGAAGCTCACTATAAAACAAGCAAAGAACTCAGGCAGAACTATATCAATTTCGACCCATTGATGTTTGTGGATCCGTAGAACATGTTGTTCATACCACTCCAGAAATTGAGTTTAACCGCCAAGTTGGCTTCTGAGAGAAAAGAGAATGGGAGGTGGATAGGCAGACAGGCCTTCCTGTTTGACATTTTCAAGTAATGGAAAAGGATTAGTAATCCACATTCTTTGCAA